ATCTCAAGCTGATTGGGTACGTAGGATATATGTTATTACAATGTATAGAATTCTAATAATTAGTTGGAAAATACCATACATGCTGAAAAACATTTTTCAGAAGAGTGTAAAACGCATAGACAATTTTCCATCAGCAATAAAAATCTTTTTTATATATGACAATTTTAATTTTGGTATAAATTACAGTAAAAGTTTGAAGTTTAGTGTTGGCGTCTAGACACATTAAATCCATTTTAGAACATTTAATTCAATATATAAAATAAGTTTACGAGATATAATTACGTACCATTAAAACAATTGCATCTCAAACTTAAATACACAATTTCATTTGGAAAATTTCGTGTCAATCCAAGCAAGAAGAACTTCAAACATCAAACGTTAAATTAACACAAAATATATCTAATTAAAGAGAAGAAGTACCAATTAATTTGGTGTCGATGATTAAGTATATAAGAATTTTTTTTTTTTTTTGCGCAATTTACTTCTAATAATTGTCATGAAAACGCCATACGTACTGGAAAAAGATTTGTCAAAAGAGTGTAAAATGCCTAGGTGCTAACCTAAAGTTCATTTAGATTTTCCATCAGCATAAATAATTTTTCTATATGACCGTTTTAAATTTAAAGTTTTGGTGTAAACCTTTGTTAAGACACTATATAACAAATTGAAATAAATTTAATCTATAAAATAAGTTTAGGAGATCTAGTTACGTACCACTGAAAGAGTTGAAACTAAAATCGAGTATTTGCAACATGGAGAGATTGAAGATGGAATCTGGTATTTGACCCTGAAGACTGTTAGTAGAAACATCCAATGCCTTCAAATTTGATAAACTGTCGATTGAATGCGGAATTTTACCTGTATTGCGCAGAGTACTCTGGAGTTTGTCAATGCACTCAAATTAATGAATACGGGAAGTACTAATAAGTAAGTAGGTAGATACCTGTTAAGTTATTTGAACTCAAATATAAATATTGAAGTTCTGATATGTTTCCAATTTCATATGGAATGCTTCCTGTGAATACATTTTAGGATATTAAAAATTGAAATCCAGAGGCCAAATATTTAAAAAAAAAAATTTCCAAAAGTTATTAGCAAATAATAATACTGGAATTAGATAATTAAATTTAAAATATAAAGGTTTTAAGTTCCAATATTGTTGGCTCTAAATTTTATTATTAAAATAAGAATGATTATAGAATGACAAATGTATGATGTATCACTTAATTTAGATTATTAAACTATTAAATAAACAATCTAATGCAGTGCAAATGAACAGAGAATGAACCTAAAAACCCGTCTATTCCTACAATGCTTGTGAGTTTAAAAAATCAATAAGTCGTTGAGTTGCGATCGTATACCGAATAGTTGGTATAGATGGAAATATCATTGAGTACATCTAATACCAACTTAGGCGGAAATTTAAGAAGAAAAACTCATCTTTGCAGCTAACAA